CACTGTCATGTATAAGTACATGTATAAGAATAGGACGTCCTGCTAGCCCGTTCGCTTCGAAAATTGGAATTGAGATTTCTCTGCAAGTTTCGTAAAATGATGGCTGAAACTTTCTAGAAATGAAATTGAACCTGTACCTCACTGATCGCGGCATATTACACAGCATCACTTGGTGATTTTGTTGAGAAAACGAGTAAAATACTTACCGTCGCTAACGCTGCTTTTGGAGGCAGCCATGTTGTGTACGCCCTCAACATCAAAACATGTTCAAAGCTTGAGTTCTCGATGTCAAAACTAGCAGATTTCATTCCTGCAGCTAAGCTTTTCCTGACCAAGCTATGCTGCACGGTGTCAAAGCTGTGATTTTCATTAAAAAGCTACACTTTCATTGGTACCCCTGTTAAAAAAACATCGAGTGCCACACACATTTCCTCTACAGATTATATGGCTAGATATACGTATGATAAGGTGTATACATGTATCAGTATATCATGTCTTGGGAATTTAACATAAATTTGTTACGATAATGTCAAGTTTTCTGTTATTTCACATCTTTCTAATTGGGTGGATATAACGTGAAAACAACGCCAATGTACTTTTATTCTAAATTGGGTCATTTATTCTCATTTCACATCTTTTCCCCGAGGAACTACATGTATATTATCTAAATACATTGTTAGTGTTTTTTTGTTATTATAAAATGATGAATGAAGTGTACTTCGTGGAAATTAATAAATATTCAAATTAGATAATTAGCATATCATACCATTTTCTATCTTCCTATATGATATTACAAAAAATGGTTGTTTTTATTATAAGATAGCTAGGGGAAAATCCATACATAACGTTTCTTCTGGAATTACAACATGCCTACTTTCTAAACTACGTCATACACTAGAGCCAACTACAGCTATGTACGTAATAAATTAAACTTCTATATTTTCACCAGTTACACATTTTATGCCCTCATGCTGTGACGTCATTGATTAAATGGCGGAATGAGACAGTCGATTACGGCGAGGCGGGAATCAAATAAAATCAACCAATCACAAATCGTCACCGGTTGTATGATTGATGTGCAAGCGAGAAATTGTATAACATCTGCCTATTTGAATAAGAATGTTTCATATGTATAGTTGAATGTATACTGATGGATTTGTTCACACTAGTTGGCAACGTTGTTTTCCTTTTGTTTTTACATGAATAATGAATATCTGGCTAAAATAAAATACCGCTAGTTATTAATTAGAAGTGACCTGACTAGGTGAAAATTGTGTGCATATAGCGCAATCGTTTGTGTTAATTATATGTATATAATGTTAAGAACAACAACAACTACGTATCATGGTAGAATACTATAAGTGAATTGGTTCGAGGGAGCACTCTTACAGAATGTGTGCAATTACTTTGTTTTTACAATCTGATTAACATAAAAGGCATGTAGCAATTAATGTGAACAGGCGTGGAGTTATCGATAAATGCATGTTTTTAAACTATAGCTGGATAGATGTGGGAAACTTTTCAAAGGAATTGATAGACATTATGACACAAAAAATATAATATAAATCAACTAAACATACGTTCTAGTTACTGAAATTTAATTTCAAATGCTTGTTGATTGAGTTGTGGCTGGATTAAAGTTTCTTTACCAATACTTCGTTTTTGCTTTGAAACAATATATTCCCACAACAAATTCGAGAATGGAAAATTCTATACAATGAGAACTTAGAACTCGGGAATGCTATAGGCAGTTTTAAAGCTAAGATAGGACTAACCTGCAGCCGTTCCAAATCAACGACCTGCTTCGTCACGTGTTTTGGATGGTTTTGAGCAATTGACATCAGAGGTACTTTGATTTTACGTAAAAGGTCTTTTATCACAATATCAGTTGGGACGCGAAAATGCAAGTCTTTCAAGCAACTGAGAACATCGTGATCACGGTATTGCATCGGTTATTGCCTAGGTCCCGGCGGAGTACACATGTTTACTGACTCCTTCCACTGATACATGAGAACAATAACCAATTATTAGTAAATGTGTATGTATTATGTGAATGTTTATGTGCATAACTAATTGGCGCAATAGATCTCTGATTAGATTTGTGCATAATATACACGACCAGCTAATACGTATATATCATATCCATGTGAATCAGATAAGCAAATTTAATTAATAGTGTATTCGTCTCTCCTCATCCGTGAGACAATATCCAATTCGGTGTAAAAGTATGAGAATTAAATATGTGCATAATTAATTTAATAATAAAAATCACATTTAATAGTTCAACATAATTTCCTTACACATGTGGCGATATTTGGTTAGTAATATATCCTTATCTGCGATAGATGTATGCATAATTAATTAGGTCACGTGACCAATATGTTAGTCAATTCTTCATTCATGGTCACAATATGTTAGTGTATGTTCTCCGCTAAACCATAACGCATTGCAAAAATTCACATCACATTTCTTTATGACCTTTCAAAATAAAGATACAATTTTAGACACAAGTGCAGATCCAGGGACCATGAAAATATATTCATAAAACGTAACACTTTTTATCTACAACATAATAGTTTCCATTGGGAGTTAAGGTCTATGAAAAAACATTTCAACCCAAAAATAAACTAGTTGCCCTCGAGAGTCGAGTAATGAGCAAACTAAATTATATAAGTTTCGTAAACCAAGAGAAAACAATGCATATCAATAAACACACCATCCACCCCATACAAAATTGACAAAAAATAAAATAAGAAAAACATTACACTGATTGTTTGCGATACAGTAGTTTTTACTAAATATGACATTTTTGTTAACATGTGGATGTCTTATGATGGCCTACGATGTTCGGCAAAATGTATGTAGAACTTAAACAAATACTGGTAAAACACGACACCTTCTTGTTTTGTTTTTTTCAAAGGGCAAGCCTTCAAACTGCAATTCCGAACATATCACGACACAGTAACGACCTTAGGGATTAGGTACAGGTTATCTATGTATCACATTACTGTAATTGAGGTTTAACATCAATCCAATATTTTGTTATCCTGAGAATTTAGGATTAATGGATTAGTGTCTTAATGGGAAGCGTGTTATGTCAATATCTGTGTGCACATGCCGATCATTTTGTGACATGCATCATTTGTGCATGGTACCCGCACGCGATTAATATAAAACACACAACAATGTATGTTGGGGTGTGCATGAGTCGTTCAATCAATTAAGTACAGGCTATCGACTGATTGGCGATATTTTTTTGTAACGAAAGTGATTAAAATGTTCATCAAACTAAACAAAACAAACCATATACACAGTACGCCGCCGCCGCCGGTTCTCACCAGAATGTTTCTTTTTTTTGGCAAATATCGCATGAACCCTTCTACTTTGAAACATTCTCAGCCGACGCGTGTATTACCGTTAAGGAAAATAAAAGGTAAGCTTCCCAACGGGGTTTTCAGATTTCACGAGATCGAAAGAACAAACGTTTTTTCACCACTGATGTATTAAATCGATAAAAACATTAAACAAAATCATCAAATCTCGTCTCGCATGTAATAAATGAAGCTATGGTAATAAATCATGGCGAATGATCTAATGGCGCTAGAAGAACAATTTACCGCGAGGATCCGTCATGGGACTATACTATCAACATTTTAATCGATGACGTGATGCTTTCTTGATAGATGTCTGATGTTTACGATTTTTAAGGTCGGTTCGCTTTTATTAGTCCCCGGTATTGTAAAGGTGTGGTAAAGAGCTCAGAGATACGGATACTCGTTGATTCAGAAGATCACTTCCTATGGAGATTTACGTTTATCAGTGGTTTGGATTGTTACTATCACGGGGAAAATTCTCTCTCTGGGGTTCTCCACACGTGTCAGGGGGGAATCTCGTCTCTATATCTCGTCCCCTTGAGGTACGGGATCGGGGAAGTCAAATATGACACACACAACGAAATACGTTTCAACTCTCGTCTTAGTCGGACTGTCGAGCACTCTATAAGACACAGCGCCCTGGGGAAAAGTCCCCAAGACTATCGCAAGGCTGACTCAAGACTCGCCCAAGACTCTCCAGGACTGGACTGCGTCTGTCGTGCTGTCCTCGCCAAGACCAACTAAAACAACTTTATTCATTTTCAAAACTCTAACCAATTACAAAGCAGAAAAAAGACTCTAGGGCGTAACTTTCAATCATAAAGCCAATCACACTAAGCACTGAACACGTCATATCTTTAGATTAATCGTTCACTACATTAATAACTACGGATACCAACTGTCAGAATGAGTAGTCCGAATAGCGACGGTTATCTCGTAATTAGTTCCAAATCACTGAGCCAAGTTCCGTCCAAAACTTCAAATAGGCCTAAACGATGACAGACATAACACAGCCATTCGCCAATAATCAACTAAATAAGTCGGTCAACAGATACGCGTAAACAAATTCATGACATTACCTCCGTTATTCCGGGAAACACCGACGTTGTAAAAAAATTAAATTTTAAGTCAAATAAAATCTCAGACTCTCCGTGATATAAACCTAACGGTTTAACTCGAACTGTATCTCCCAAGTAAGTCCTCGTATGAGGGTTTCCTCCTACGTCAATAATACTGGCATATTCAGTAAAAATGTTATTTATTTATTCCCTAACAAAAAAAGTGTTAATGATGTGATTTAATACATTTTCGATTTCAGTTTTATAGTGTAGAATATTCCAGTGAGCGGCCATATATTTTTGTTACCATAGAAATTAACGATATACACTAGTTTTAAATATTGCGTTTAGTTTGCTAATGTGAAATGAACAACATTTTGAG